AGACACCTCAAAAGTTGGAGCTGGTCTCTGACACACAGGTGTTTGGTGAACACAGGGTAGGTGGGGATGATGTCTCCAAGTCCATTGTCCACCCCTAGGAATCAGCTTACTCGGCCCCTCGGCAGAAACAAGGACGAGGGAAGGCACCCATGGGGCCGCACCTATCTCTCTTCACGAAGGCTCACTCCGTGGGGACCAGACAGTCCTAGGGAGGTCAAGAGACTGGCAGCTTTGCAGCTAGTGGGAAACTGAATCAAATTCTGTCTGCAGAGCAGCTGTAATTGATCTCTGCACTCTGGTCTCCCAGAGCAGGACGCTGATGAAAGACTTTGAGATGGTGGCAGCTGGGAAGGGGCAAACCCAAAAATCTGAATTGAGGTCTCTCTGAGCACATCAATGTCTACTGCAAATTCGTGCATATTTTCCAGTTTTCTGCTCCCCTCTATTGCTTCCCCACACACATTTTGTATCCCAGGGACCATGGCATACGTCCTAGCGGGCAACTGTGAAGCGATTTGCGTATGCCACTGGGCAATTCGATTACTGATGCCACCTCACCTGGTACGATGGCTCCTCACCTCAAATGTGGGGGTTCCGGTGCCCCGAGAGATGAGGACATTGGCTTGCACAGTGGCACCTACTGCTTACCTGGGGTCACATGCAGCTGGTCAGGGGGCTCTGATAAAGGGGGTGACCCACTGTCACCTAGAATTGATCCATGCCCTTGGAAAGCCCTGTCCCAGTCACTGAGTACACTAGGAAACTGAGCTGGGCTGGGGAAAGTGTGACTCGGTTTCCTCATCTAACCAAATGGAAAATCCACTGTCAGAGTTCCATCTGGTTTTCGGTGAGTTCCATCTTCCTCTAGATCCTGTAGAAGAAAGAAACCTTTGCATTCCCCGGCATTGCGTGAAATGACTTTGGCTGGATTTTCAAGTAGGGATAGCTAATCATAATAACTATGGATGTTTAAATGCGGGGCACATTCATTTGAATGGTCACTATTGCTGTCATCATACATGATAATAAAATGACTTAGACCACCAGCATGTACTGGTAGTATTGCTAAATGCATCAAAATTTACATTTTTGCTTTTTTCAGACTACCCATTTCAGGGTGTTATAGATGACTACTGGGTTACAGCATAGCTTGATTGCTTTTGGAAGAGATCTGAAATAAGTGTGAGCAAAGTGTGATTCTTAAAATAAATTACAAAGATCCATTTATGACAAAGCTTGACTTTCAGGATAAAAAAAAATAGCTCTATGTCAAGAGCTTAGTGTTCTAAATGACAAGGTTGAGTTAATAACAACGACCCAAAGAACAGCCACTTCTGACTTCTGATGTAGTGAAAGCACAGACGTAAGCTTTAAGGGGCGTATCTGTGACTATGAGGCGGTAAGCAGTTTGTTTCTGCTGTTAGTCACTGGGGTGACCGTTAATGAAGTGCCTTTGCCAACACATCAGATGTGTCTCCAGGGACGACGCACTGGACTTCCTGAGGGTAGGAAGTATGAAGAGTCCCGTCGGCGGATGTTGTTGGGGTTGGACCAGCGGCCTCTCCTTAGGAGTGACCATTTCTTGATGTAATATAGATGGGTGTTCCCGTGTGTACAGTGCTTTTAGGGATGGAGGCTGGATGGCCACCGAGAAGCAATTTTACTGATATTCTTTCTTTTACTATTCTCCTCTGCTCCCCCAAACCATCATCACCATCATCGCCTTCATTGTCATCATCAGCAGCAACAGCACCCTGTTTGCTCTGCATCTGAGTCCGCTCCAGGCTGTAGGAAGATGACTCAAAACTCACTCCTGGGTGAGGGCTGCCATCCATTTGACACTGGTCAGCTGAAGAGTGAGGCCTCCAGGAAGACAGTGAGTTTGCTGTCCCTCCTTCTGTGTCGTCTCTGGGTCCCTGACTTGCTCTTACAACATTTTCTTCCCTGCATTCCGTGTCTTTAGATGCGGCCTCTCTTTCATTTTGCTCTTCGTCAATAATGCCACGGTGACCTTGTTGCAGGTGACCACTGGCCACTTCGCAGCTCACTTGGCAAGAGCTACAGGCTTACCCAACGTAACCGACGAGGCCGGGCACTAGGTCGCGGCGCAGGTGTGTGAGAATGATGCTGGTTCCTCGCCCTCCTCCCCATCCCCCCTCAGCCCATTGTTAGGATGTCGCAGACAACAGGAAAACAGAGAAAAGTGCCACTGTCCCTTCTCCCCAAAGAAGACACTTTGAAACTGGCTCCTGAGCAGAAGCTGCAATGTTCGCTGAACTGCCCTCTTATCCACGCCAGGCAGCAGTAGGCAGTCACAACAAATTGGGTCAAAAATCATTTTCCTGTTTCTTGTCTTTGCCAGAGCAGTGCGTGCGCGTGTGTGTGTGTGTGTGTGTGTGTGTGTGGTGGAGCAAACGTGCAATAAAAATGAGGAATCTTCTTCTCATGAACATTTAAACACACACCTGCTCCCTAATTGCCATGACCTCGAAAACTCTGAGCTCAGCAACCAGGTCACCGTTCCAGAATACCTACGGGCCGCGTGCCTGGGCTGAATGTCCTCCCTCATTCTCTTCAGATAATCACAGCTGAGCCTGAAATGCCGGGGGTGATTCTTTCCCATGGGCTCTGTGTTATCCCGAGAGCCAGTTTCAGCAGTACGCTTAGGTCAAGGTCACCCATCAAGGTCATTCCGTGCTGTTGCCAGGCACGTATTGATAGCACCCACATGCTTTCTGCTCCAAAGGCCACAGCTTTCTGTGATCAAATCATACTCCGTTTGCATTGAGAATTTGTGTTCAGACCAGGGTGTGGTGGGAGAAGCACCCCTCACCCCATCCTCTACACCCCACTTCTCTTCCAGGCCAAGCGCGGGTTTGAGTTTCTGGGTCATTGGGTAACGCCTGCCCTCTGCCCCGTCTGGCAGGCCACCTTTGGTGGGGGCTGCCTTAGCACAGGCGTGTTTGGTAACTTGAGGAAGAGATGGAGCAATCAGTGATCTTCTTGCCTATCTATTGCTCCCAGCTGCTTGCCCGAGTGGCCATCTTGAATTGATTGCCCAGCCACACAGTCAGCAGTGAGCCAGTGCCAATCCGCCTGCCAGCAGATGGCTCCAAGTGAGCTCATTGTTTTGACAGTTTCACAAAAGAACCCCAAACAGCCTGAACAAACCCTTACACATGTTGGATCAGCTGCAACAGTTGTGAGATGAAAAATGAACTTGAACCAAAACTTGGGGAGCTATGAACACCGCGGCGGGTCTCTGACTCCTCAAGTCCGGGGATACTCCAAGCGAGATTGGATTCCCTGCCAGCCTCTCCTCTGCGCTGGGTATTGGAACTGCTTGGGTGGCAGTGATGATCAGATGGGGGGAAGACGATGACCTCAAACCTCAGTGATTGCAAGCTCCATTGAAAAGCGTCTTGGCAGCCTGGATGCTGATATTCTTGGAACACCCCGTGCTTTCACTAATTCCAAGAGTATATGTGTAACAAGTCACATGACCCTACAGTAACACTGGAAATTCATAGAATTGGAGCATCCACCGGGACTATTTATCACTTGGGTTGGGACATTGGGGAGGCACCAGTCTTTTCTAGTTCTCCGCAAGGACAACCACGGTGTCTTGGCTTCCAGAGCCAGTGTCCCTTGACGGCCAGCTCCATCCAGGCGCCGACCCAGCTCGATGGATTCTCTCAGGCTTGCATCACAGAAGGCCCCTCCCCCAGTTTAGATCTGTGTGCTCAGCAGAACGGGGCCCAAACCAGTCACATTTTCTTTCTGCAGTAGTAAGAACACTGGGTTAGAATTGTGATGTCCACCCTTAGGTTCCAGTTCAGGACACTTGTGGAGATGAAAAGCCAGACTTGGGGTTTATATTGGTTTCCTCAGGTTGCCAGAGCAAAGTGCCACATGCAGAAATTTTTTTGGTCACGGTTCAGGAGGCCAGGAGGCCAGTATCAGACGAGCTTGTCCTTTCTTGTGGACTTTGGGCTCAGGGGAGACTGTTCTATGCCTCTCTTTGGTGGTTGCTAGACATCCCTGGTGTCTTGGCTTGTGGGCCCATATGCCAGTCTCTGCCTCCCTTTCTTCATGGTGTTCTCTCTGGGTGCCTCTGTGTGCAAATGTCTCTCCTCTTACTTGGACAACAATCATTGCATTGGGTTCGCCCTGGCCAGTGTGGGCACATTTAACTTTATATCTGTGAAGACCCTGTTTCCAAATAAGCTCATGTTCACTGGTCCTGGGTCAGCGCTTGAACATATCTCCTTGGTGGACACAGTTCAGTCCACTCCAGGGCACATCTCCCAGTCCATTCCTGTGCTGCCCAGCCAGCTCTCTGGGGCCTTTCCAGATTCTGGAATTTCTAGTCCTGCATCTCCTCATCCACGGAGTAAGTGCACTGAGTAGACAATCTCTGAACTTGCTCTCTGCTGACGTGATCCTGGGTATTCCTGGGTATGTGCTGGGATCAGTAGTGAACCAGAAGGGACTCAGATTTCAAATGTGAATTTCAGGTGCTTTGAATAGTTCACTCCCCAACTGGACAAGTTTGGTGAAACGTCTTACTGCAAAGCACTCACACGCCGGCCCTGCAGACACAGGTGTAGGCGGTTATGGTAGGAGTGCCGGCGTCACGTTATGTATGCATCAGCGTACCTGTTCTCATTTTACCCTTCTCTCCTCGCCACCCCGAGTATGGGCGACTTAAAGAAAAACCCATGATCTTAAAGGGCAGAGTAGGGCGAAGCCACTCACACAGCTCTGGGGACCTGCCCAGATGGCTGGGCCAAGTTAGTAACTGAGGGTAATGAGAGCTTGGGAGCGGAGGGGGAAGTGAGGTGATCTCAGTCCCTGTTCTCTGTTACTCCTGTTACTCTCTAGAGTGATGTTTGCCCCATCACTTCCAGCTTTTTGTTCCTTGTCTTCCCTAGTCCGGATTGCACGGCCGGGCCTCACCCTCAGACGGACTTCCGCTCATGCCCTCCCTTCTGCTCCAGCCCCCGCCACACTGGCTATTCACCGCGGTGCACCACCTGTTGCAGGTGCTCCCGCCTCGCGTGCACACGAGCCAGGTGCAGCCACGCAAAGATGATGAGGATGCAGACGCCTCCTCAAGGCCGAATGCAGAGCTTGGAGCAGGGGACCAGCACCCAATCACCCCACCACCCACCCCACCCCGCTGGCACCAGGGCGACTTCCAGGGGGAGACCACGGACTCAAGGTAGGGGGCGCCACCCGCCCACACAGCCGTTCGGGGTGGCGAGGCCCTTCCGCCAGAGGGGCGGCAGCGGAACCGCTTGTGGGTTGTCTGAAAGCGCCGCCTGCACCCCAGTGGAGAGTGAATGAGGAGGGCGGTGGTGAAGATGTGTCTGCTGCCCCTGGCTCGTCCCACAAATTCAGCTTGGCCTTAGAAGTGAATGTAAACACGAGGCCAGGAACAGTCCCCTCCCTGGGGCCATCTGCTTATAACTCTCTAAAGCCTGTGTAAACACGAAGGAGGTTAAAATACATGCCGTGACGCGTCTTTCTGATCCTGAAGACGCTTGGCTAACAATGTGCATTTGCTTCTGGGCCGGTAATGGACAGGTTTGGGGCAGACAAGGGTGCAGCCCTCGACACTCACCTGGTGGGGGCATAGACTGTAAATGTGGGTGGTGTGTCTGGCGGGTGGGGAGCTCTTATAATCCTTCACTGATTAATACTGTTCAAGGCCGTGGTCTGCTCAGCGAGACTGGTGGTGGTGGTGGTTGGGGGGTGGTGGTGGGAAGGGTGGGCTCAAGCCAGCCCTGGACTCCAAATCTCAGGCAGCTAATCCTGTCTGATCAGAACCATCCTTCCCTCTAAGAATCACCCACTTTCCCCAGGCACCCGCTGTGAATCCCTGACATCTTTCCAGGAAGTGGATGAGTACCCTGTACACTGTGATTGGTGCTTTGTTCATCATCATCACCATCCTACTACTTTACCGTTGACTATAATACTTTACCATGCACAAGCTATTCGGGCTTTGTGGTAATTCGGGGCGTTGCCACAGGATCTGCCTGTAGTGGCTGTGGATTGACACTTCATGATCATACAAAGTCCACAGTAGAGTTCACGTGGCATTGTGCATTCTGTGGGGCTGGCCAGATGTATAATGACACATAGCCATCATAATAGTGTCATGCAGAGGATTTTTGCTGCCCTAAAATCTCTCTCTCTCTCTCAACCTTGGCAGTCTCTGACCTTTTAGACATTCCCATGGTTGCTTTGCCTACAATGTCATATAGTTGGAATTCCAGCTTGTAGTTTCTTCAGATTGCTTCTTTCATTTAATAATGTACATTGAAGTTTCCTCGGTGTCTTCTCTTGACTTGATAGGTCCGTTTTTCCTATTTCATAGGAAAAATAATATTTTAATATTCCCTAGTCTGGATGCACCACAGTTCATCTATCCACTTCTGAAGGACATTTTGGTTATTTCTAAGTTTTGGCAGTTATGTGTAAAGCTGCTGTAACATCCATGTATGGACATTTTTGTGGACTTAAGTTTTGCATTTGCTTGGGTAATTACTGAGCAGCATGATGGCTAGATTCTATGGTGCAGTTTTGTTTGATAAGATACTGCCTATCTCCAAAGTGGCAATGCCATTCTGCATTCCTGCTAGCAGTGGATGCTCCAACTCCTTGTCTGCACTTGGCTTTGTCAGTGTTACAGAATTTGGCCATTCTAAGTGGGGCATGGTATCTCATTGTTACTTTAATCTGCATTTCCATGATGTGGAATACCTTTTCACTAGGTTATTTGCCACCTCTGTATTTCTGTTGGTGAGGTGTCAATAAAGGTCTGTCTGCCTATTTCTAAACTGGGTTACTTATTTCCTTACTGCTGAGCTTTAAGAGTACTTTGTGTATTTTGCATAATATTTACTGGATATGTCTTTTGCAAATATTTCCTACTAGCCTGTGTTTGTCTTCTCATTCTCTTAACATGTCTTTTGCAAAGCAGGAGTTTGTTTTTTATCTGAACGAATTCCAGTTTATCAATTATTCGTTTGATAGATTGTGTATTTGGCACTGTATTTAAAATTGCATCAGCATACACAAGATCATCTAGGAGACCATATTATATTATCTAGGGGTTTTATAGTGATACATTTTACCTTTAGGTCTATGATCCATTTTGGGTTAAGTTTTGTCAAGGGCATCAGTCTGTTGGGAATTTTTTTTTTCCATTTGGATACCCAGTTGTTCCAGTTAGGAAAGGGTTGTGAGTTTTATCGTTATTAAATTGCAGTATTGAATTGCATTTCAATGGCTAGGACATAGCTTTGACTTGAGTTATACTTTTTAGTGGGAGGGCATAGCTTGTTGGGGGTGACCCTGGTAGAGATTATGAAAGAGAGTAAAAGACCCTTCTTCTAGCTACCTCTTGACAACTTTACTGTTTGGGGGAAGTTTTCTTCTGTGTAAAAATAATTGTACCTTGTTCATTAGCAATTCTTTTATTATCCCAGATGAAGAAAACTGAGGCTCCATGTTTAAATGCAGCATAAACATCTACCAAAAATCCAAAGCAGGTTATTAGCCTAGATCTATCTAGTTACAAACTCCAAACACCTTTCATCATCTCCCGCAGATGATAGAGGAACTCATACAGTTTGAAAATGGGGGCTATAATTTAATTAGCTTATTTAGAATATTCTGCCTCTTCACAAAGTAATGCTAAGGTTGAAGCCTCTTAATTAAGAGATCCAAGCAGCATGGCCCTGACTCCAGTTAACTGACGAGTTGAGTGATGTTGGCCCAACAGAAGCACCCTCCTGCCTATATGCCCTTATTTATCCTAATTCTCTTGGCAACTAAGCCTGGTGAACAGTTAAAAGTGGCAATAAACATAAGCATAAATACGTATTATGCCCTTAATTATCATGAAGCATTCCTGCCCACATGCACAGTGCTGTAGGCTATCTTAGCTCCTGGGGGATAATGTTAATGAACTTTATCAACTTAGGAGACCAAAATGCTCCAGGGAATGTCTCTTCCCCTGTGTGTACACATGGCGGGAAGCCCCTTTGCTGTGGGTACTTGGCACGGATCTCACTGGTTCTGAGGGTGGCGACATCATCTGTAACTTAAAAAAAAAATCAACTTTCTACATAAATTTCTTTGTTAAACTACCCCAAGTTGAATAAGATTGTATGAAAAAGGCAGGAGACATAAATATGCATTGGTAGAAGTTCAAATTTATCCAAGGTTGCCAGGTCTCTTTGGGGGCAGTCAGTACTCAGATTCTGAACTCGGGAATATTCTTTTTTTTATGTTGGGTTCTCTATCAGACTACATTTGTTTAGAAAATGGAGCAAATCTTGGCATTCTGGGGATGAAGAGATTTAATCTAGGAGTTAGAGCTTCTGGGAGTTTTAGGGGTGCTGGAATCGTGGTGTTACAACAGAAAACCAAACTACTTTACCAGGAGGTTGGAAAGGAGACACTGAGAGCCTTAGCCCTCTCAGAAGCTTCTAAGCAACTGCTGTAGTTCTCAAGAATATCTGAAGAAACTTCTACTAGCTGGCTTAGTCTGAAACAGAAAAATGGGTGATTTGGAACACTGGTTGAGACGTGACTGTGAATTTCACATTGCCCTGGTATCTGCTGAATCATCTCTACAGAAAAATAACCTCTGTTCCCTAGTTTTCTATGTGAATCTCATTGACAAGCTCTGATAAGGAACTGCCGAGGGAAGGGGCTCTGGGAACGGTAGTTTGCAGATATGGAGAGTGACACCTATTGACAAAAACCATTTATTCTGAGTGGTCCTTGGATGGAGCCATCACTCTTCTTAGTGTAGTGGTGACAAGCAGCCTGCCTGAGAGCCCAGTCCACGAGCATCCCTCTCACATGGCAGCTGCCTCTTGTGCCACGATCTACCTTGAAAGCTCTCTCTTCCTTCTTAATCCTGTCGCCAACTCCTCATCAACTTGCCTTGGGCTTTGCTTCTCTCAGAGTTGTGAGCTGACTCATTGTTACTCCTCTTGTGAGACGATGACTGATGCCTTGCAAAACTAGTGCTGGTCACAGATCTTACTAAAGGAAAATTTCTTTTTTCTCTCTGGCAGTATTTATTTTTGTCTTTTTTTATAATTCATTTGCAGAACTCAGGCCAGAGGTGCAGGGGCAGTGAGAGGACTCACCAGAGACAGAGTGGGGAGCAGAACAGGCAGATGGACAAAGTACACTGCTGAGGGGAGCAGTGGGAGAGAAAGGAGAGGTCTGATACACCATGTGGGTCACTTCTGGGGTGGGGATCGAACACACACTGAAGCGTCATAGCTTGACTTAGTTTTGCAGTGCAGCACTCCAACCCACTGCGCCACCAGGGAGGACCCTGGTTTTGGCTTTCCATCTCTCTGGTTCTCATGATTGGCCGAGAGAAGGGCACATGACTCAGTTTGATCCAATGAGATTCAAACTTCTCATTGAGCAGGAACTCTGGTAAAGTGGAGCCTTTTTTTGACCAAGATGACTAGATGGTGGTAAAATAAGAATAGAAGTAATCCCAGCCTCTTTGTCTCTAAGAATCAAGAACCTTCTGAAATGAAGGCACAGGGAACGCAGCACACAGAATATAGGGTGTAGAGACAAAGGAAAAGTATTGAGAACTTTGTTGAGTTCCTAAATCCACTGAGTATGAGGTTTTGAGACATTCAGGCCTAATACTAAACCTCTATTCTTGACCCTCAGCTTATAGAGTTTCTAAAACCAATGGTTTTTGAAAACCAAGCAAAAAAGAGATTTCAGAGCAAGAACAACACATTGCCAGGGCTGAAAAAGGGCTGGGCTTGTTTACAAGTTGCTTTAGACATGAAGCACCAGTCTCCAGTCTCTCATTCTGCTGGAACCATCCCAGAATCTTCCCAGGGTTTGCCACTAAAATCTTTAATGACCTCTTTTGTCTGATTTAGTGAAACTCACTTTACCTCAAACTTTGCCATTTAAGATAAGTAAAGCACATCATACAGTTTTGTCATCATCAGTGGTAGTATTAGAATATGCTGAGAAATTACATCTACTAAAACAGAGTTGGAAGTTCTCTATGCTTAAATGATTTTTATATTCCTAAAAAATGTGAGTCCTACAGAAAGGGCTGAGGTGGTGCGTGTGGCATGATAATATATATTTGTAGATGTGTGAACCTGTACACACCCAAAAACACATTGTAAATCAGTGTTACCTTAATAAATGTAACTGAACCACATAAGTACTTATTAATACTTTGTACAATGTCTTGTACAATATTTCACTCAAAATGTATTTCAATTATGGGAGGGCTATAGTGAGTTTGGTCATTTGGTCAGCAAATATAATTATATAATAGGGTGCTTTATTAAAGTTTTTATTTCAAATAACTGGCTGACAAATGAGACTTTGGAATACAGACTTCAGGAATTGCTCCTCTAGATAGCATTTGTTTTCACAGAGGGCTTGACATATGTAGACTATGTACTGAAGAATGCAAGTTCAACATTAATACACTTGGCAGAAGAGCCAAGATGAACATGTTTTTGAGCTCTGATAATGGAAGTCCAGTGTCTGGCCCAAGAGAGGTGACCCTCTGTGCTGGTCAGACCACACAGAGCAGCTTGGGGTACAATCCCGTGAATGGTCAAAACACAGTGAGTGGCTCTGCTAATAACCCACATTCTTAAGACATTGATAAATCAGAGTCATCCGGAGAAGAATCGTAAGATATTGGATCCTAGGAAACCCTGAAAGATAGTCACAAGATCCAGGAATGTTTAGTCTGGTGCAGAAAGGGCTTGAGAAGGCTGTGTGGTCATTTTGTGGGTGAAGAATCCCCATATTCTGTGTTCCAAGTACTAAACAAGGCCAGTAGTAGAAGGTGAAGGAGGTGGAGCATAGAGGTCTGGGAATGATCCTGATTGAAAAGGTCAGCCTGACCTGGCCACCAGGAAACTTGGCTGGCCTAGCA